GGCTGTCGAATGTGTTTTTTACTGCATTTGTATGCAACGTCATCAGCTTTGCACGCCAGTAGAATCGGCACAGTGCCTCTGACCAATTTCCAGTCGTTATCATGGGGAATTCATCGTATGCCATTGTGTGCCGGTCTTCAGTGTGACGGTGTTGTTTTGCAATCCATTTCTGACGTCTATCAGCATACGAACGCTCCCTCAAGTACTTTGTTGTGCTCCCAAAAACTAGTCGGTTTTCACCGTCATAGACCATGTACTCATCGAAGGGAACCCAACTCGCATACGACATCGTCATTCGCTGTTCATGGGCCGCCCCAGCCGCAGTATCAACCACCGCTAGTGCCGATCGCTCTTGTTGCAGGCTCATATCGTCAGTCGCCACATGTTCTTGGTGAGACCGAACCCATTTTGGTACCATTGTGCCGTGTTCGTGCATAAGGCGTTGCAACGAACGAATTTCGATTCGATGTGGATCCCGGTACTTGTGCTGTGCATCGCCGTTTGCAATTTTGCGTGCCCCATTGAAGATCTGTATCCGCTTTGGCTGTCACATACTTGTTGACCGCAGTCCCCAGTAGCTATCAACCCGGCCATCAGCGCGTGTACCTCGCACCGGGTCGACGTAATATCGCTCTTGTGAATCGCCATCCGACCTGTTACTGATTGACCCTCGGGTTGTTGCATGGCCCACGTACCAGATGCGTGCTGAGTGCACGCCGCTAACACGCTTCCGTCTCCGGCTAAAACGGATACGTCAGAGCTGTTGGTGGACCATTGGTATTAAAGAGCATGATTTCGCGCTATGGGGAGGCCATCTTCGTCTACAGTTCCTATCAAACGACAGCTCCCACGTACACATTGAGGGTGGTGCCACCGCCCGCACTCACGACAACATTTCGGTAACGGCCGCATATCGAGCAGGCTGTCGACATTTCCAACGTGTGGCCGTGGTGGATAACAGATAGATAGCGCATGCGGCTTTTAGCAAGGGCTTCGTCCAGTACCTCATCATTATTGACACCATGCTTGCCGTCGACGCGAGTTGAATCCCAGATGATAACCCGCTGTCGGCGCGATGGCATCGTAGGTAGGTAGGTCGATGAGATAGGTACACAGACTGCCTCAAATTCAGCTTCCACGACCCGATGTCGGCGCTCGTAGAACACACCACTTCCGCGGGGGCGTTCATACCACCATCAATCGGAATTGTACGGCCGAGGGGATGACTACCCACGTCACCGATTTCTCTGTAGCCGATTTCGTAGTGGTCAATTACTGGTTCCGTACCGTTAGTATTCATCTTCACCACAACAATCCACTGACCCACCCCAATGCGTAGTTGGAATGGAGTCGAACCAAGTTCTACTGGAGTACAACCGACTGGACTACGGAGACGGTTGGTATCTGGCCTCGTTAAGACCTCTACCCAGTGATCCTTCATGCTCTCCAGAGTGATGCGATCGTTACCCGACCAGTGACCCTTTCTCATCAGTTCCGGTAGCTTCATGATTTGTGTGCCGGAAACGTTAGAGATATCGCCGACGTAGCGCAATTTGAAGGCCGCCTTCCAGTTGATGGCGACGAGAGAACACTGCTGCTCCGGGGGAGTGTAGTCGATGAGAGGTCGATCATTGCTACGGCTAGAACGGGTTTGGAGTGGCTGTGTCCACTCCACTGCCATGGTGAGCGGTGGATCAAACGACGCCGCGTGGCGGATCAGCTGAGCAGTCCAAGACCGAGCACCTCTCGGTGGAGCGATGGGGTAAGCTAGCGGGTGCCGTGTCAATCCAGCTCGGGTTTGGTATGCCTCTAAAAACTTTGTCAGAACATGACGGACCGAGAGAGACGGTGAGTTTAAGATACGTAGCGCCTCCACTAAGCGGTACGTATTCGCGTCAGCCTCGCAGCTTTCCAGACCCAGGCCATTCGCTTTATCATAGAACACAGCTGTATTCACGTTGAACGGCAGTCGTAGCACCGATCTCGCCACTTGACGGATGAATATATCCACCTTTGCTGCTACGTCTACGGACCCTCCAAGAACCATGCGGTAGCGCAATCGAGGGATTCATATATGGTTCACCACGTAACGGAATTCTGGTAGCAAAAGCCCTAGACGCTGTACTCGATCGGCGTCCGACACTATTCGTTGCCATGTTGATTCGAGCGACGCCGCCCACTGGTCCTCTCCGCCTTGATATATACTAAGATGTTTTAAGCCTTGCTCTGGTGACACAATTTGCACTGGTTGTGGTATTCCGTGGCCGTCATTTAAGTGCACCGCTGGGTAATGCTCCGTGGACCTAGCGAGATACATCTGGAATGACTTCGCTGAGCCGAAAACACCTCCTGTGGCATATTTACCAGTAAACATATTGGTGACCCTCGCACGAACCACCAGCCCATTATATGATGTTGTCACGTCCAGTTGATCGTCCACAAACATGGTGCTGGCAATGTTAATCCCGTGACCGTTCTGACTATGTCTGATCACGACAGGGTCTACGCATTTCTCACGCTGCTCTTGTAGGCAATCCATGTATACTCCGATGTGTAGAATAGCGAGGATCGAGCCCTGACCGATGCCGAATTCACGCTCCCCTGTGGCAATCCATCCGAATGATGTTCTCACTTCAATTTCACCTGGTCCCAGCAGACCGATCATCAGTTTTCTCACGGTGTCCGGAACTCCTAGTCCGAGATATATGAGCTCCATAACCCACGCGGGGATACGGTCATAGCACTTGAGACAATCTTTAGATACTAGTAGGAGTAGCTCCTTTAATTCCTTAGCTCGTTCAATTAGCAGCGTTGTCATGAGTGCGGCGTCTATGACAGACCTGTCCGACCGGAATCCGTGTTGCAGAAGACTGCGTGGTATACCACCATCGACGAGCTGCTTTATTACAAGAAAGAGTCGGTTGGTAAAGGCAGCTTGGACCGTGATCGGCCGCCATGGTGGTAAACCCTTAGACACATCTAATGTTGGGTCCACATTCGTCGTTTTCGGCAGGAATACCATTTGTTTCCGGCGTAGTATCTTCGGAGCTAGTCCGGTACGTAGGATTAGCTCAATAATCTTCCGTTCTCGCTGCCTCACTTGTGCTGGAGCTGAAATTAACATTTCTTGGGAAACCCCACCGTACCCTGGTGCAACATGTTGCTTCAGCTGTTTATCAATCTCTTCTTGCATCGCCGCCGTGTAGTGGTAGTCCTGCCATGTTTTGCCGGCAGTCTGCCACACGGCGGTGTATCGTCCTCCTCGCACAATATCAGGAAGAATCCATTCCTGTGCAAATTGTGGAAGTGTATGAATATCGTCCGGATTCAGAGTGTCTAAGTACCGTGGCCTGGTTGTCCTTTCATTCACGGGTATCCAATTGTCTAGTAAGACCGTTAGCTGCCTTTGCACCTCCGCCCTGTCTTCAGTGTAACTCGGCCCAGAATTGCCCGGTATTATGGCACTGCGGATAGATACCGGTGGGGGTGGCTTACCTAAAGAGCTCTGGAGGAACGCCTTAGTCGCCCCACTGACGAACCATTTCGGCGCCGTTCCTGGCATAGTCTGCGCCGAGTTGTTTATCTCCAATTTCGGCGTGTCCGAATTGTCTTCCTCCAAAGTTTAATGATAGTCATAAACCACTCGACCCAGTCGGGTATCTGCAAGGATTCGGGTGGCTCGGCAATTATCGCGTTCAACTTGCGCGCTTCTTTCTGATGGCAGCTCCCTTCGACCATCGTATCGGGGAACGCAACCCACCTCGGCCAGCATATCGCCCCAGCGGCCACCTGAATGTCGTCAATATTAATATCTGTTTGGTCTAGGACGATACGCGCTTGACGCAGCTGGGCTGTGTAACGGTTACTCCTCTTGATACACACAGCTCGCGCCAGTTGCCGTTTTAACTGCTTGCTTTCCTTCCAAAGGTTCCTGGCACTCAGATAGAGACAGGAGTATAGGTTGTCAATCGCTTGCTCAAGCCACACTAGTATCTCTTCAGGTGTGCTGGTGGCAGCCTCGATATCATCAATAAGACAGATTTCGCCAGAGTGTAACATTGTCCGTGTGTGCTCTGTAAACTCCTGCATCTCCTCCTTCGTTTTCTGCCGTGTATTGACAACCTTGATGGGGGTTATATGCTGACGGGTAAAAGCAATCCGCGCCCCACGATCTGTCCGCATGACTACCATTGGCACACCCGCGTGGTCACTCGTTGTAACGCTGTTAATCCATATAGCGCTAGCTGTAATCGCTGTCTCGTGCTCTCCGGAGATGTAAATGTCATCCAGCGTGGACCGAGTACCTTGTCTGGTCCCTCGGTGGCTGAAATGTTTTCTACTATGCCGGAAAACTAACTGTAGGCGGAAATTTACCGGACGATTGTCGAGCTTTACCGGATGAGGTTACATTTTGAGAGGTACGAACAAGTTATTACCTAAGCACAGTGATTACAGGAGCGACAACTACAAGAGCAATTGGTTCGATATCGCCCGTGATAACGCAAGGCGGTATTGTGCAGAATATAGCTATTGTACGTCTTGATAAAACGCCGAACAACGACGTATCTACATTAAACCACCATCCGTCGAATGTGCCTGTGACGGCGATATAATCGACACTGTGGTACTTGAGTCGTGACTACAGATATCAGTTGCATCGAAGAAGATATATATCTACGTCAGTGGCGTCAATCAGGTGAGTTTACTGTGCCATCAAACGCAGCACGGAGACGCTTCAATTATGTATGACTCGGCTGGTTTTGTTAGTGCTGGACTTCGGATCGTAATATAACGTTGGGGGACTACGAGTGGTTAATAAAGACCTCGTTTTTTCATGTTGCGGATTGATCCTTAGTGACAAAGCGACATAAAGCCAGCTCACAAGTATGTTTATGGACGGGTCAACGCAGCTTGATTAAGTCAAGCACTGGCTGAACAAACCGCTCTCAAATAGCTCGGAGAATAGCACCGGGATGGACGTTTGTCTCTCATCCCACAAGCTACTTTGGAGCAGTGGCACCGATGTTAGACCAGAACTGACCAGCGAAGTAATCCCTGAGCTTCATCATCCACGTGACCCAATCTCCTAGGACAATTCCACCGAAAAAGGGCAATTGAGTCACTCCTCCGTTTGGTCCAAGCGGTAAGACTAATGCCTCGGTGCTCATTCCAGTGTACAGTTTGGTGAAACCCAGTTTTTTCTTGCGGATAACCGCAGTTAGCTCGCCCGCTAGAAACTTGCCTTGCTCACCAGCAATGAATGCCATCTTTTGTGACGAGTGGTTGCATACGTCGCCCAGAGCGAACATTTTTGCGTAGCTTGCATCGTCCAGTTGCAGCTGTTCATTCACCTTGACCGCTCCTCGCTCGTCACCAGGTTTGGATTCATATCACGCACAAGCTCTGCGGCAGGGTGGAAGCCGCTACAGAGCAACTGGATGTCCGATTCAATCGCTGTTCCTTGATTTGTATACAAAGTGCGTGTCTCGAACCCGTTTCCGGTCATCCTCTCCGACAACCGCTCACCCAAGATCACTTTGACGCCCAGATCCGCAAGTGACGCGCTCAGCTTCACGTAGAACTTGTCACGGAGATTGCTACCGGAGATCAGCCTCGCGTTGGCTTCGAGCAGCATCACAGATTTGTTGGGGTACTTGGACTTGATCTCAGCTGCTACTTCACAGCCCACAGCACCTCCGCCCACCACCAAGATCCGGTTCGCTGTCTCAATGTGACTACGCACATCCTGGAGCTTGGATTCGTGGTCGGATCGAGCATAGTCATGAATGTCTTGCTTGATGGGCGCAGTGTAAGTGCTTCCCATGGCCAAAACCAAGTTGTCGAAGTGCAGTGAAGTCGTTGACGTACTCTCATTGTCGTTGTTGTCGATTGTATGGTACAAGATCTCATTCGTGGCGGCTGAAATTTTTGTAACGACACCGCGCACGATGCGAACAAACTTGGTGGCGTTCTTGGAAATTGCATTGTCGTACGGGATGAACATCTTGTTCATAAAGCTCGCGTTGGCGTAGGCTCGAGGAGCCCCAACGACGTGATAGAAGTACGCACTCTTCTCCAGAACTACTACGTCCGTCTTGTCGGACTCTGTGAGATTCTTTGCCAATGCCTGCGCGGTGTTGATACCCGCTGGTCCTCCTCCAACAATCACAGTACACGTCATGTTGCTGCTGAGGGATATTGCTTGTACTGGGTGTGTTGTTGACTGCAAATTTGGTTGTGATGTTACAAAGCTGCATAACTTGTATGAGACTGCGTAAAGCATGTAAAAAGTTTGCGTGTACCGATATGTAACTACATGTGCTACTGTACTATTATACTGAAGTTAGCCTAAAAAAGGTGTATTCCATAGCGAAGCAGAGCGAAGCAAGGGAATTGTGTTTTCCACACCAGTTTTTTTTAGTACCGGTATACCGAAACGGTACCGGTATACACTGCTCCTGCTTGTTGCTGACCACACGTGGCGAGCTCTCTCACTTCGTATTTGGAGAACAAGCAGCAAGCAGTCAAGAAATACCCGCCTCTCCTCGTCCCTTTTTGGATCGAGCTGATGGTCAATGCATAAGCTCTCATTAATGTATTTGTTCGTTTGACCCCCAACGATTGTGGAAAGGTAAAAAAATACAGTAGCAGGAAAAAGTTGTAGGCTTCCTTCAGGCATGTTATGATTACGAATCAGCGAAATGAATACAGAAGTCCCCGTGAATTAGCGTGGCTTGCACCTCATATACCCCTTTATATCGGATCATATAGATGGAAAGCATTTTTTACTAATCAGAAGTCGCTTTTATTTTCCTATAAAAATTAATAAGACGGCTCCCTACACTCATTGTGGGGGACTTCTGTACTTAGGTGTGCAGTGCATCGTTGGCTAGGTAATCATGCTCGAACAAATCGGAAGGGTAAATCAATCAGGTTTACCGATGAATTAAACGGTGACGTACGCTGGAAATAGATTTTAATCGTAAATTTGTGGTATGCCCAAGCCAGTACAAAAGCTGTTTTGTGAAATCTTTAGCTGATCCTTACAGCTAAGATCGCAATTGGATCATAGAATATGATTTAACTGGGAAAAGGGTCGCTTAAAATCCTGTGCAAACTTGCCGTGTGGGAGTCTAAATAAAAAAAAGTTACTATTGGTGACGTGAAGTCCTGGATAGTGCTGAACGTTTTGCACCTCAGATTGAGGAAGCAGAGCTTCGTTTTCGTTATTCATCTGGAAGGCCAATTTATTTGCCTTGCTGGGGTCGTATGCGCTTCGCTCGCGAAGCATTAGTGCTATCTAAAGTAAGCAAGATCCTTCATCACGGTAGCGTTGGTTTCTTCGGTGATATGCAAAACGGTAGCTACCTACCTACCCGAGTTTCGTAGGGAGTAACTTATCTACACATGAGGTTGTTTTAATGTCCTGCCCAATCTGAGATAAGATTTCACGTTCCCTTACGTATCGCGACAATATTTAAATGAAGAAGTGGTATATTTTCGAGCAGGTTTCCCGAGGGTCTGTGGACGCGGGATCAAAAGTGAGAGCTCACAGTTTGCTGTGAAATTTCTCCTTTAAAAATTACTCAAAGCATAAAGCGAAACTGTTGCAATTTTGCAATAAGTACGCAAAGGCCCTTAAAGCGAAACTGTTGCAATTTTGCAATAAGTACGCAAAGGCCCTTAAAGCAAAACTGTTGCAATTTTGCAATAAGTACGCAAAGGCCCTTATCGACGGTATTGTACCTTAGACATATTGTGACGGGCCCATCGTCACACATCGCCATCGCATCCAATGCGATGGCCAATCAGCTTGTAGAACACATCTACTGGTTGGCGTGGTCCGAGACCACGCCGTTAACTTTCAATACATCTCAGAGTCTAATTTGCCTGCTTCCTCACGCACAGTGTACGTAAGGTAACGGGTTGCTGAAAGCCCGTTACACCTGGTAGCACTTTGTCATCCGTCCAACGCTCACGATGAACGACATGCCGATGTTCGACGCGCCCAAGTTGCCCAACACGTCGCTGGAGCACGACAGCTTCCCCCACCTCTCTTCGCTCGAATGGGAGGCGTTGCACCGCCTCGCTGCTGCGTCCGGCGAGGCTGTCATCCACACGTTGCTCACTGCTGGAACCGAAGCTCAACATCGCCTTGCCGCCCAAGAATTCATGGCGCGTGAACTCGCTGACCTCCGTCAGCGCGTGTCGACTCCCACGCTGTCCAAGAACAGGACTGACATCGTCAAGCTCGATGTCTCCTCTTATAGTGGTGAAGGCGACGGTCGCCTCCACTTGAACAGATGGTTCTGCGAAGTGGACATCGCAGTTGAAGCCCGGCAGCTTTCCACCGAGCTCGCGCGGACTCGCTTCCTTCTTTCTAAACTGACGGGGAAGGCAAAGGAGTGGGCCCTCGGCAAGCTCGTTGTCAACCCCTCATGCTTTCCCACGATGGCTGCAATGAAATCTGACCTGCGACTCGCGTTCGAGCTGCCCCAATACGAGAGAGTCCAGCGTTCCGCCTTCCTGTCGTTGCAGCAAGGCAAGATGTCCATGCTCGAATATATCCAGCGGGCACGTCACCTCATCTCGTGCATCACGACACATCCGGTTGACATGGCGACCCATGTCCATGTCTTCGTGTCCGGCATGAACACCGGCTACCAACGCTTCTACTTAACGCGGAAGTCCCCATCTACGCTGGAAGAAGCTTTCGCGGTGGCCCTACGCGAAGATTACAGCGTCGCGGCATCTCAAGCTTTCGATTTCAGTCGGGCTCCGGCCTCCGAACCAGAACCAGAGCCGATAGAGATGGATGCCATCCGCCACTTCGATCGTTCTCGGTCGACGACACGTCCACCGCGCTCCCCGACGCGCAGCCAACGTCCGATGAAATGCTTCCGCTGTCGCAAGCCCGGACATCGCGCGGCGGTGTGCCGCGCGCCGGCACCTGTCCTGGCACACGTCACGGTGGAGTCCGAGGTCGCCGTTCCAAAAAACGGCGACAACCAGTAGGTGCGGGGCGCCCTACTGGGAATGGAAGGAGAGATGCATCTCTGGTGGCAGAGCCTCCTCCTAGCCCTCCAGTGCTTCACGCACGACTTTTCGCCACCACTTCCGGCAGCGACTCGAGACTGATTATTCTTAGTCTTCACGTTGACGGCGCCCAGCGCCCGATTCGTGCGTTGCTGGACTTCGGCGCGACGAACAGCTTCGTTCGCGCCGACAGCTTATCGGTGCTGCCGCCAACCACGCGCATCAGCGAAGGTCCAGGCCACATGGTCGTCAAATACGCTGACGGCAAGCCGCGTCGGATGCCCCGGCGCTCGGTCGCCTTCGCGTATGCATTCGACGGGTTCTCCAGCTCGGACAACTTCCTGGTGATCGAGTTGAGCGGTTCATTCGACTGCGTTTTCGGCATTCCGTGGCTAGTGCATCACCAGCCTCACATCGACTGGTTGACCCGAACTGTTCGGCCACGCGATATCGATGTCAACGCAGTACTGGCGTACCTGAGCGGTACGCCCAACCTCTGGCCACACGTTGCTGTCATCGACCCCGACTCCATGACCACCCCTGCACTTGAAGAGAGCGATGGCCCTTCATACGCAGCCAGTGCTCCAGCAACTTGTGCCGGTCCTGAGTCGGAGCCTCAGGGCGTTTCCGATGTGGTCGAGCTGAGTATCCCACATCTTGGTGAGCAGTGGCTCCCACCTCGTGAAGCGGTTGAGCGTGAGCTCCTGCCCGCGGTTGACCAGGGGTTCCCGCGCGCAGTCGAGCTGAAGCTCCCTGGACCTGTGAATATGGTCGACCGATTCTCGGCACCAGTTGTGAGAGGCGGGAGATCTCCCGCGATGTGTTGTGAGATGACATTCTTTTTTAACAGAATGGTGTTCCCGGCGCGGATGACATACCCCGGCGCCCAACCGATCTCGCCATGATCGAGGATGGAGCGTGGGCTCTCATCGCCAGATGTACTCCGTCCTGTTTGTCGTCGTAGTCGCCGTAACCCCCGCCGACCTCGTGCCCCGTCGCAGGACTCCGTCCTGAGCGAGTTCGAGACTATTACAGTCCTTGCTGGACACGCCTCGAACGATCTTCCGCGTCGCCGTGAAGTTGAGGTCGCACGTCCACCGTGCGACGCCGCGGCAATCACAAAGCTCCCCGGTCTCTCTTGGAAACATTTCCTCCGCGACTTAAAGCACGGCGACGTCGAACAAGTATGCTTACTCGTAGCTAGCGACGCCGCGTCCATCGCGACTGTCCACGTCGACACCGATGCCTCAGCGCCGGACCCCCAGACGCGCCCCACGGGCGCCGAACCGAAAACAGCCCGTGAAGCGCGCTACGCTGCACAATCGTTACCGGCCCTCGAAGCTTCCGGTAACCCTGTGGCCCCTCTCGTCCGTAAATTCATCGACATCTTCCCCGACAAGGTTCCGGCGGCCCTTCCGCCGGATCGCGGAGTCCGACACGAGATAGATCTCGTGCCTGGCGCCAAGTACTGTGTCACCAGACAGTGGTCGCTTCCCCGCGACCAAGTCGAGGCGATCGATGCCTTTTTCGAAAGTCGCCGGCAAGCCGGCCACGTTCGCGAGAGCTTGTCACCCCACTCCAGTCCTACGTTCTGTGTGAAGAAAGCGACCGGGGGGTGGAGGATCGTGTACGCCTTCAACAAGCTTAACGACGCCACAATCCCGGCACAAACGCCGATCCCACGAAAGGACATGATTCTTGACTTCATGTCGGGCAGCACCACGTATAGCGCGATTGATCTGATGGACGGATTCTATCAGATCTTGATGCGCGAAGACGACGTGCCGCTGACTGCCGTCAGCACGCCCAGTGGAATGCTGTGGGAATGGCTAGTCTGCCGCAGGGGCTAAAGAACGCCCCCGCCACCTTTAACCGCATGGTGTCCCACTTGCTGCGTCCATATCGTGACTTCGCGCCCAGTTACTTTGACGACATCTTCATTCATAGTCATGCCGACGCCGGCATGACTGACATCGAAGTTCATCTCCAACACCTACGAACGGTGTTCGGAGTGATGCGCGAAAATAAGCTCTACGCCAACCTGAAGAAATGCATCTTCTGCGCCCCCGAGATTCCAGTCCTCGGGAGCTACGTCAGCAAGGACGGTGTCCGTGCTGACCCCGAGAAAGTGGCAGCCATCTGCGC